TCTGGTAAAATGGCTTTGGTCTTCATGATTCTAGACAGTAGTTTATACTGCTGTCAAATCCCAGGCTACTGATATTGTGGAGTTATATGGCTGAATTGCACCACCTAACTTTGACCGTAACAATGACGATTAACCAGTGTTTTTTGTATGGAGTTTGACAGGTTTTTGACGTTTGTCAAAGTTAAAGTAAGATGGTGCAACCTAGCCTTAGTATTTTGACATTGATTGTTCACGTAAGAATATAAAACCACAGACGAAATTAGAGATAACAATAGATTTGAATACCTAAATTTTTCATCATCATCGTCATTTCAACCACAAAACAACCACTACTGAATATAACCTATGATTTCCAGAATACATTAAATTAAAACCATTAGGCAAAGCCTTAAGGAACTTGTCCATTCAAGAAAAAATAAACATAAATATAAACTCTAACACCCAAACTATGACGAGTACCTTCTTTGACTCTATAATTTTCTCCGAAAGCTTGCACAAACAAAGCTCTAGACCTAAAGCACGTATCTACAGGTTTCTAAACTCCACAATTAAAGTTAGTTTCATTGTTTCCCATGTCAATTGTTGCAATTCACGCTCTATTGGAGCATGCTCTATCGGTTGGCAGGCTTTTGTTTTTGCCTGGCACCGGAACGTAGGAATTGGGAAAAGTCGTGCAATCAAGTACAGTCACGGAATGAAAAGGTTCGTCAGTTTTCAAATTGATTCCTTCAACGAATCGCGAGCACATATTACCTTTTGAAACTATGTTACAGAATAATCTCGAGTTAGAGAAAATAATCTTTAACTGTTCGTCAGTAAAGTTCAAAATTATTCAAATCAAAGTTGTTTGACGATTTATCTTGTCAAGAAGATTATTATGATTGACAAACTAAAACCTTTTTGTTGGTTCAACCTGCCATTATTATTTCTTTTAAATAAAAAAAACTTGTCAATTGGTCAATGTCATCATTGCATTGCACTGATGGGATAGAAAAATAAACAAGCAAAACCTTATTCGTTAGCAAACGTCATATTTATTTAAATGTTAGCAGCACTGTTTCTTGCACTGTTATGTTGGCAGGTTTGACTCTTACAGTACCTAGTGCAAGCGAAAACCGACACTAAGGTGACGAACCTTTTCATTCCGCGACTGTACAATCCACAATAAGGCCTCGTTTCCACCAATGCGGAGCGGAGCAGAGAAGTTTTTTAAACTATCTCTCTTATAACAACCTTTAGGGGGTTCGCCTTAGACAAACATAGGCCTCCTCTTCCTCCTTAAGACAGAAGTCGGTCGGTGGAGTTTTTTGAATAACCAATGAGATTCCATTATTTGCATTTCTCCACTCCTCTCTGCTTTGGTGGAAATGGATCGAGCGGAGGAGAGCGGAGAAGTGTTGGTCGCACTTGTTTTTCTATTGAATTTGACAGCGGCAGCGGATCGATGCGGAGATGTGCGGTGGGTGGTGTTTCATAGATAGCAAATAGCAATAGACTAATGAAAACTGGCTGACTAAATACTGACTAAAGGTAGCAGGGAAGCTGGACGCAGGTCGCTACCAAACGATCAACATGGAAAACATTGGGGAAGGCCTATGTTCAGCAGTGGACGTCCTATGGCTGAAATTAAGATGATGATGAATAGACTGACAGCTGACAGCAACGCACAGCTCAAACATCTCCTGACGAGGAGATGTGTGCGGTGACGACCGCACCGCACTTCTCCGCTCCGCTTTGGTGGAAAAAGCCTGCTAGCTTCGCCTCATATCTTTACTCGTCTCCGCACCACTTCGCCTCAGTGGAAACCAGGCTTAAGACTACAATTTTTGTTGCAACCTCGACCCTACTACAATTGCATAAGGATCTATAGTTTAGATTGATGTGATGTGCTATAGTTTGTTCCTCAGCATAAATACAAGTAATTGCAGACACCATTGATCTGCACATGTTATTGAGAAATCCTGTAATAGTGATTGCGAAATGTGGTGCTATTAACGATAAAAGTTGTACTTATGTCTAAACTTGTGTTATTCGATTATTGTGTTTGAAAAATTTGTGAAAATCGATTACTTTTTTCGGATTTTAACTAATTAACTTTTCATAAAAATCTTCACAAGCAAAACTGCAGGGTTTTGCCAGTTAAATTATGCAGTGCATATAAAAGCTCAACGCAGCTTATAAACTTAATTTTGACGGTAAAGTTTTTCTGACACTAAAACAAGAATAACACATTCAGTTCACAGCATAATTATCATATCTAAGCTTTTCATGTGAACAAAACAAACAGATTAAATAAAATTAAACACGTTAAAATTACAAAATGTAGAGTCATCTACACATCAAGAAGAACACAAGACAAACTTACTGCTTTTAAAAAATAACGTACGTAGGTCTGGCATTCACTAGCTCATTCACCCGTATTCACAAACATTACTATAAGGTCTCACAGTGGACGCACAGAGTGACATACGAACCAATCACAGAGCTCTATTCAACGCTGTGCGTTCGATTTGCTGCTTCACTTAAGCAAGCATCGTTTGTGAATACAGGCGTTAGTCCAAAACGATTTATACGCACGGTTTATATGAATCAGGAGCAAGGTAAAGATCATTTCAGACTATATTTTTGTTGCAAAGTCACCCTTATCAGAGCTGCATAAGATGCCACAGTGTTTAGGTCGACGTGCCGTCCTCTGCACAACATTGTGATCATTAAGATCAGAAAATATTTTAATTGACCAGCTCTCAGGTTATCTTGATCTTAACATATTCATTATTAAGTCGTTAAAGCACATTTGCAATCAAATGCAAGTTAAAAATGGAAGGGACTGCTCTTAAAATTTGGTTCAATAAAGTAATGGTCTCATTATTAAACACATTTTATTATTTAATAAGGTCTAAAAGGTTCGCAGCCGTTTAAGAAGTTTTTGTAAATGAAATTATTTTGGAATAAAATGTTAATTTAAATGCATTGTCTAGATATTTTTCTCGTATTTGATAAATAGGTAGTAATTATTCTAAAAAGAACACAATTGTCTTTAATTACGTCAATTTTAATCTTTTAATGCACAGTAAATATAGTAGGTATAGACAAAGTTTTATGAATAAAGGGTTTGGGTAACCTAATAAAGTTTATGTTGCACTTGTTATTTTATAATACGGCGAAGCTTTCTTCCGATGTGTAGACTAAAAATTATTTAGAAGTGACACAAAGTAAAAATTGTTTAATTTTTCATGGAACGTTGATAAATACTTAGATCGGTACTTTCGAATTTCAATTGGCTTTTATTCATATTTGGTATGACTTGGCAGTAAAAACCTTGCATTCATTTTTTATACACTAATCGTACCTACGAGTACTTCTAAGTTTATAAGTAAACTCTACTATCCTATCACCAAATCTCTAAATCTAGATAAAACTATAATAATAATACCTACTGTTGAATGCTGGGTAATGTTTTGTAATTATTAAATTACTAGCTGTGCCCGCGACTTCGTACGCGTGAAAACCCGTTTTCGCAACATTTTTCATTTTTGCTCTGCACCTATTACTCGTAGCGTGATGGTATATAGCCTTCTTCATTAAATGGGCTATATAACACTGAAAGAATTTTTCAAATCGGGCCGGTAGTTCCTGAGATTAGCGCGTTCAAGAAAACAAACAAACAAACTCTTCAGCTTTATAATATTAGTATCGATTTATTGGTCTCAAAACGCTGTCTAGTGTCTAGTCTATAAGACTCCGACATCTACAGTGAACAAACATGAATAGCGACACAGGTTTGCTTCGGCATTTATTTGGTTATGTCCACTTTTGTCTCGTTGTTTTTTATTCTTAACGAGCTCTACGCAACGCCACTTATAATTTTAATGTCTCTACCCATCTTTCAAACATGAACCCCCCAAAAAGATAGATTAATAGCGCATTTAATAATTATAGTTGTTATTACCTACCTAAAAGGTATCGCTGGGTATTAAAAAAAGTATTACGTATGTTCATATCTGTTGTCTGTTATGTATTTATTTATTTATTTCAAACTTACATGCACATAGTGTTCATAAGCTTTACTTAGTTTGGGACTAGAAGTCGTAATGTAAAATTTCCAAAGATGTTTATTATTATTATTATTAAAAAGTGTCATTGATTTGTTGTAGAGCCAATGTGAAAATCTTTGGAGGTGGCCTATGTCCGGCAGTGGACGTCCTGTAGCTGAAATGATGATGATGATGATAATGTAGAGCAACCATCAGCGGTGAACTATGACTGGACCTAATAACTTATCACAGCATCATTTAAAAAAAAAGTCTCTTGAAATTTTACAATCAAAATAAGGTAAAAATTTTGCTACTCAAATTGCCTAATCTGACTAACAAAATTGTTGCCCAAAGTCATATATTATATCTAGATACAAGAGCCAATGTCATGTTCAAGCCACCTTAACCTACCATATATCTAAGTAACAGTCTATGCGAACAACTAATTGATTTATCTAATCGAATGATTAATTTATTACATCTATTAAAGAGTCACTCGTCTGGAGACATATTAATTACTTTGTGCTATGATAAATGGTCATTTATAGTAGGTAAGTGTAGCTAATTGTTTCAATTACATCTCGTGAATTGTTGAGAGGATGAATTTAAATAGAAAAATTGATAATACTAATGGCGTCTAATGGTAATGCCCGACAAACCACCCTCACCTGTCTAAAAATTACATATTTACACTGATTGTTGTAAAGCGTGACCCACTGACAAAACAAGCTTAGCGCTTACATTGTTTTCCCATAGACGATTCCATTCAGAATCTCATTACACTCCAAAAGGTTTACAAGAGATCTGGCGCAATGCTGTTCTCATGGACGTGTCTGTCGTTAGGGCAGCGTGAGGTGACCATTACTGCGTACAAAGAGTTGCCTAAAATAGAGAGCCTCACAAAAGGCGGGAAGACGGGCGAGCGGCGGGGGCGGGGCGGCCGCCGGCGGGACCAGCTCACTCAGTCGCGCCGCGCTGCACAGCCGCCTCGCACGCCGACGCTCCGCGTGCCAAAGACGCGCACGCGCACGTCCCGCGCCCCACCCCGACACGTGCTCAGTGCCCATGATAACACCCTCAACATGCAAGAGCAAAGTTCATCACGATCCAGCAAGACCACCCTCAACTCACTCGAAAGCGCCATCATCAAACTCAAAAACAACCTACAAATACAAGATACGAAGACAGAAATGAACGGACTGCTCACTGCCGACCCGCCGTCACCGGACACGAAATCTAACCCAAGTAAGAGTCCCACTTCATCATCAACTACAAACATAAACTTATCGATTGCGTCAGCTGCGTTGCTGCAAGAAAACATGCTGCAAAGATCGCTGCAAGGTGTGGTTATATCGTTACAAAATGCAATGATGAATTCCTTGCAACAGGCCGCGCTGTTGCCATCCAACTCCGCGGCGGCCGCGGCGTTGAATTTGCAAGCATTAGAATCTTATTTGACGTTACAACGCTTGACTTCTGTCTCAACTGTGAACACTACTAGCCAACCTAGCACCACCGAAAATAGTTCTTCCTCAAAACAAGACATACTAAGGATAGCGACGGCAAGTGCAAAAATAAGCGAAGTAGATGCAACTGATAGTACGTCCAGAGAATTTTCGCCAAAAACGCCGGAGGAGTATCCATTATCTGATGCGATAGCTGCTGAAGATGTGGACCTGTCTGAAGAAGTTGAGGAAGATTTGGCCTTATTGGATAATGAAGATGAATTTACATTAGAACAGCATTTAGAATCTACGTCAAAAGGCTACGGTTACAGCTCTCAGAATTTAGATAACGGGTATCCGAGTTTATTAATGAATGCAATGTATCAGCAGCAGATGAATGGGAGTCCGTCGCAAGCGCCGTTGTCACCGCAGGCAAATTCCTCGAGTTCTAAGTCGACGAATAGTTCAACGTCGTCGACCGGGAGTAGTATATCAAATAAACAAAAAACAGCTGGCAGTGGCCCGAGGATAAAGAAGCAATTTATCTGCAAGTTCTGTAACCGTCAGTTCACGAAGTCCTACAACCTGTTGATACACGAGCGGACGCATACGGACGAAAGGCCATATTCTTGCGATATCTGTGGAAAAGCTTTCCGACGGCAAGACCATCTACGGGATCACAGGTAAACAAACCTTTATTTAACCTATAATCTATGACTCTATATTTTAACCCTCTTATGATACAATTCTAAGGTCATTATGGAAATCATTGGGAGATGCCTATGTTCATCAGGGGACTTCGTAAACTGATGATAGTTGGCTGATGATGATGATGCAAGTCTAATGACGGAAAAACCCTTCAACGAATCAATTTAATGCCCCTAATGTGCTATATCACAAACAATCATCAGACAAACATTGGCACATGTTTGCCACTTCATCATTATGTAATTATTAATTAATTATGTAAACTCTTACATTTACCTACTTCTAAATGGGAATAACATACAACATACTGAACTCTGTTGACTTCACAATTTAGGATACAAATCCATGTCAATTTCAGATTTAAAATCAATAAAGACATCATTTTTAAATCCTTAATACCTGTACCCTTCTTAAGCTAAGTTAAGCCTTTATTAATGTCATTTGTTTCTTTGTTATGCCATGTTATGTTTATGTTATTTTGCTTTTATAGCAGTCATTAATATACCCTGTCTGCATGTTTAGGGTTTTATATACCTAACGTACTCATTATTATTCAATATTCATTATTTGTGCAATCTTTTTTGTCAAGGATCAGCCTTCATGCATAAAATCTAAAGAATCAAATTGATATGGCTAATTATAACACTTTAAAGTTTTTTGGGTTGTTGTGTCCGGCCGCCGGTGGCACATAGCGGTCATCAAAGTCTTAAAACTTAAAATGAAGATCCAATCCAAAGAACCAAAGAATTTAAAATGAAGCAATAGTTACAATAAATAAAACAGTATCTATTTACAATAAAGTATCGTGATCAATGTTAATTTCCTAGTAAACATCACCTTAAGCACTTTTTTATTAGATAACCTCCTCAAACCAGTTTTTTGTATAGGAAACATTATCTTCACACTTTGAAAATAGCTAAATCAATCGTGATTAATACCGTATTTTTACCCTGAACGATCGGATCGGATGGCACGGCCCTTAAACCGAAGATAAAATGTTCAAAAACATTCTCAGGGCATCACGATCCTCATTTTTCGATATCAATAAAAGATTTTAGTTGTGGGTTTCAACGCGAAACGTTATGAACTTTTGAATAATGGCGGTGCGCTCAAAAATATTTAAAAAAACCGGCCAAGTGCGAGTCGGGCTCGCGCACAAAGGGTTCCGTAGCAGCAAATATAATAAACTTATTATGTCAATTTATACACCTGGTGAATGGAGCCTAAACTCTCCCGATATTTTGCCTTGTACTTTTATGTATGAATATTAATTTTATATATGTATTTATAAATATTCCGAGCTAAAGAGGTGGCAAAAGCAATGGCAAACAAACCACAATCAATAGTATTCGGTTGTCGCTGAACACTTGGAAACTGAATACATGACTCCGATAGATACGGAAACAAGGCTTTTACATATATTTTTTGCGATTTTCCTAGAACACCAACAAGACTATCGTACACACGCAGTATTCCATTAATGTAATAAATACAACTCCAGTGCCCCACTAATCCCACGTCACCGTCATAAATTACTTGAAGGTGCGTCTCATTTTTAGGTACAGGTTCAATCAGTTCAGGGTGTTGAAATAATTCTAGCTCACGCGGTCTAAATGATGTGCACCGAAGTAACTTTTCATGAAATGCGCGAACCACATCATCTTCGATATAGTTATTATAATTCAGAATGTAGGAAAACGTATTATCTAAAGTATCCATTGTTAGATGATATACAATAAGCTTTAGAAATTTTAAAAACCTGCTACGAAACACTAAAATTTGCACCAAAAACAAAGGAATTTATATTATTGGGGGATTTATTAGTACGTGACCGGTTTAATAGCACCTATTAAACCAGTATACCTACTTACTTATTTTTTATAATAGGTACAATTCAATATTAAAAAGTCTCAACGCCAAATTCGACTTGCGAAAGAAGTAAATGGGAACGATGAAATTCTCTTAGCGCGCACAAGTGACAACGACGTCTGCCCTCACGTGTCTGCCCGTTCGGGTCGACGCGGTTAGCTATCTTATCCCCGCTCCCGCGCGAGACCACGCCCCGCAACTCACGCGCTGCAGCGCAGCGAGCGACCGATCTTCTTGAATCGATGTAATAATAATCTATAGGATTAACGCGTTTTAAAAATATTGGTTCGATGGATATGTTTAACCTATTATTACTCAACAATCACATTTGTAATATTAAACTTTATCAAATGCACAATGTATTTAAGGTACATTACTGGATAAGGATTAATGGCGTATTGCTTGAATAAGCTAATATTTCTCGTAAAAAGTACCTACATTATAAAGATTTTATATCATCGCGGATTTTAAAAGGTGTACAATACTGTAGTATATTTTTTGATCTATCTTATAAGGTTCAGCCATCGTTTTCAGTGTAAGCACAATAACTTAACCAAAATTACAGTTAAATCAACCTATCTCAAAAACTATAAGAGATACTTTGATCAAACCAAAAATCGTTGAAAGAGTTAATTAGCATGCATCACCTCTATTTTTTTTAGAATTTTATACCCCGTAGTTATAAAAATAGAGGGGGGGGGACATACTTTTTACGACTTTGAGAGCTGATATCTCAAAAACCGTTCACTTTAAGAAAAATGTTTTTTAGAAAACTTTATATCATTTTAAAAGACCTTTCCATTGATACCCCACACGGGTATGTACATCGAAAAAAAAATTTTCATCCCTCAGTTACATGTATGGGGGGCCCCACCCCCAATTCTTTTTTTTACTATTTAGTGTCATAATTTTGTAGCGGTTCATACAACACATATTCCCATCAAATTTCATCACTGTAGTACTTATAGTTTCCGAGTAAATCGGCTGTGACAGACGGACAGACGGACAGACGGACAGACGGACAGACGGACAGACGGACAGACGGACATGACGAAACTATAAGGGTTCCGTTTTTGCCATTTTGGCTACGGAACCCTAACAAAAAGGGTTAAGTATGGCCCGAGCAGATGCTATCGACAACTCGTTCGTCACGCTCGTAAATATTTCACAAAACCGCCGCTAATCTGAGAAGACGATGTTTTAATTTTGGCTCCAACTCTTTGTTCTTTTTCGTATCTTACATTCCTTTTGATTCCTTCGCAAAAAATGTTACTCGAAATTGTTGCTCTAAACCCGTTAGACCTGTAAACACATTTACCTATCTCGAAGACAATAAATATCTTAATGTTGCTACAACAACGCATAATCTACCATAATCTATTTCTCGAGTTATCTCCGATCCCCACCCAAAAAGAGGTAAAGGTGTTGAATTTTTAACACCTGTCTCTCGGCGATTTCCTTCCAAATCACCGTATCTCTTCGGCAATAAAATAAATTTCGTGTAGACGCTGGAGGGTTAACCGAGCCGGGCCGGCCTGTCGATGTTCAATTGATGTTCGTTGACACCATACATTATAATGGACCGGAGCGAGCCTTCGACGGGTTTTAACAAAGCACGTGTGATCCTGACGCGGGGATTAATATAGATGACAAAAAATACACCTTTGCATGTACAGTCGACTTTCGAACCGATATTTTTTGTTCCGATCGAGATAATAAGCGTGAATTAATTTGTGACTTTATTATTAAAAGCCATGTTAAACATAGTTAACTCTAGTTATCGATGAATAAGGTTTGTTTAATTAACGGACGGCGTTCTATGTTGGCTCGATTTAGGCCTAAAGTTGCGCGCAATCGACCGAGCGAGCTTTTTAATCACGGTCATCATCTCTAGTTTTAATATTGAAATTATTCTCTCATTCATCATCCCACAACGCTTTATCGTCACCGATCTAACTAATCCAAACGATTATTATAGGCATTACGTTACGTTGAACACGTCGTAATTTTCTCTGTGATTTTATTTGTTTATTCGATCCACGGATAATTTCTGGCCGTTACGATTGCCGTGTTTCTCGTTATGCGTTATTATTGATTACATGTTGTACGGTGTTAATTATACGTTGTACGCCTAAATTCAATTTGAAAGTAGTAGGTCTATGAGTTTGTTGAGATTGAACGAATTGCTTTGCTTTTTATACACGCCTTTTGACCTTTTCCGTAACTATTACTATAAGGTCAAAGTTGTAAAAGTAATCGCTTCAAAATTAACATAAATATTTAAAGATAAAGACGGGACTATTCCCACCTCTCGTTCCCACCACTGCAACTCCTGTGTAGCCAGGATCTACAGCTTGACCGCCACAAAAACCCAACCAATGAAGGTCAAGTTTGTCCCGGGGGAAAGTTAAACTGTCATTGGACCCGCAACGAAATTAATCAGAAGAACATAGGAGGAGTTCGAAATTAAGGTTCGACTTCCCTCCATTGCAAAGCGGATGACAGGTGACAAACAAAGGTTTAAAACCTTCAAGAAAAGATTATGCACCACGGACAATAAATTAAATTAAGGGGGCCTATCTTATGAGCAATTAGCAACTACCTGCCAATAATATTTTTCACAAAATCGCTTAAAAGCACGGAAATTTTTCCTTGTCGCGACAAGATCGGTGTAATAAATTGCGGAAACAGATGTATGTTGTATTGAATTAAGCATTATATCACGTTCATGTTTCCAAAAATTTAAAGATAAAGAGTCAACAATAACGAGAATAAATCATTCTTTTTTGTCCCGTAAAAACCCCGTTCTTTCATCTCCATTCCAGACTCAGCACTTAAAGCCAATACGAAACTTATAGCCCAGCTGTAAAGTAAAAGGCTCTAAAATTTGTTATGCCCACATGCTCTCTGGCGTAAATTAATGATTATGGCAATAAAAACAAGGTTGTACGCCAATTTATTACCAATATCCCGGGGGCGCTTGTTTGTTCCGTGCCAAGGTGTTCGGGACACGCTTCGCTCTGTTTCGGCGCCTGCAGACATGATGTATTTATTGTGCTCACAGCATCCTGAGCTAAATAGGGGAACTCCTTTTACGTCTTTTGCTTTATTGTTTTTGAATTATAGTCAGCTAGCTCGGCTTTGTTTAGTACGGTCGAGTTTGTAGTGGTTGTGATTGAATAGTACGGTAATACGCCTTTGTTGTTTGTTTAGGGCTCATTAATTCTTTTTGCTTAGGGTTATAGGAATTTTAATTTTTATGGTCTCTCTCTGTCATGTGAGTGTCTTCCCTAATAATAATTTCGCGTGTAACTCACTATTGCGAGTATCTATATATCTATCTAATTGAAAGTGTATTTTGATAATAATAGAATTTATAGTTATGAGTTGTAATGCGTCAGTTTTAAATAGTTTTTTATTGTTACAGGTACATCCACTCAAAGGAGAAGCCTTTCAAATGCCTGGAATGCGGTAAGGGTTTCTGTCAATCGAGAACTCTTGCGGTACACAAGATCCTTCACATGGAAGAGTCTCCCCACAAGTGCCCCGTCTGCAGCAGAAGTTTCAACCAAAGGTCGAACTTGAAGACCCACCTCCTAACCCATACAGACATCAAGCCATACAACTGTTCCTCTTGCGGAAAAGTTTTCAGGCGAAACTGTGACTTAAGACGTCATAGCTTAACGCACAATCTCGTTGGCATGTCTTCAGTAAATACTTCCCCAAGTGGGAGCAATGGGAAGAGTCCAAATTTCAACCCAAACTTCCCAATTGATAATGTAGACACGGAAGACGAAAATTAGGTGAGATTAAATAAAGTTTAGTGGCAACCGTTTGAAAAGACTGATAAGCGATTATAAATTGATGCCCTTTAGTTTAAGAAGAGATTATGGGTCGTAATTTAATGCAAATGTTTTGTTGTGTCCTAATTCTCCTTTAGTGGCTATATTAACGTTTTAAAAACGTTCGTATTCATCAAAATATGAGAGCCGTAATATATTTTGGTAAAATATTACATTTTTGTTGAATCTTGTGCCATTGCTTTAGCTTCCTGGTTCAACAGGATCCTTTACCTTATCCATGATGTGCAAAATGTAAAATATAAAATTATGCTTCTAAAAAACGTTTGCGTTTTGTTAGTGACACGTTTTTTTACTTTTAGGTTAAGACTTGCAATACAACTCCAGATTTTTTGGATTCTCTACCTAGTATTACTTAGGTTAAGATATTTCTGAAATCTTGTACATTTCTGATCTCATTTATGTAAATATAAATTATGGCTAAGTCAATTAATAAACTGTCCGTCCACCATGAAATTTAGTGTTAAGCTTGTAAAATAAAAATGTATTTTGTAAAAATATGAACTGTATAGAAAATTTAATTGTCTTCCTAGTGTTTTGATAAACATATTCTTGGAAGTGGTATTGTTTAATTGTGTAATTAAATAATTGACGAAATAACTCCGATTAGTTCTGTTTTTACTGACCCTTGGTATATAAAAACGTAATATAAATAACTTCGTTGCCTGGTATTTGTGTCTCTTAGGTAACCTTTTCTTCCTGTAGGGGGTAAATGCGAGTGTAAGAAAACATGAACACGATATCAGGCAGGAGTCATCTGCATTCATTATCAACCAAAAGAATCCCCAACAGTTAAAATCGCCTGATGCCCGTTTTTACCATCAATCGCTAATTTTTATGTGACCCCTATGTAAATAAAATTCCTGTTATGTGTTACCATAGTGGTCACTTAAAAATTAGGGATTGATGGTGAAAAGGGGCATAATATAGGTAGCTAAGCAATTTGTGCGATTTTTCTTACTTTCGATGCTATTACAATACATTTAGTGACTAACAGAATTTAATTTCTCTTACTGAGGTAAAATTATTTCTTACTAGCTTTCCGCCCACGGCTTCGCCCGCGTGGAATTTTGTCTGTCATAGAAAAACAATATCGCGCGCGTATTTGCTCACCGTTTAGACCTACCCTGGACTACGACAAACATTTTAAAACCAAAATCAGCTCAATCGGCCCAGCCGTTCTAGAGTTTTAATCAGACTAACGAACATCAATTCATTTTTATTTATATAGATTTAACTGCAACTCATTTGAACCTCCGATTTTTAAGCAATTAGGTGCTCAAAACTCATTTATTTTCAGTAAGTAAGCTCTTAAAGAGCACTTTACATGCCTCAACCCTCTATAGAAGAGGCAGTGCAATATAATACATAATACATAATTATAAATTCTCAAGCGTTATCTCTGGCTACATTGTAGCAAAGCCCCTGAGTAGTGTTGAAAATGACTAAAGCTGCTGAATTTGTCTGACCGTCATTTACGGTCAAATTGGTCAAAAACTAGACATAAACTGTCAAAAACGGTTATTTTCGGTCAATTTGATTTCAGTAATAGTTTAGTACTTTTCAAGTTTTTTCTTAGATTTTGTGATTGATACATTTGTCTACAACATCTTAATTGAAATAAAAAAGTGGTTTGTAATGATTTATTACAGTTAAACATTTTACAGTGAGTCTACAACTACTAAATTGAAACAATAAGTATTTTGGTTTTGGTTACCTAAATAGATAAATTATTCGGTGGTAGTACCTACTTACAGTAATATTTGAGTCGAATTGACTGAATTTGACAGTAAAGGACTGGTCATTTATGGTTTTGACCATAGTGACCGGTCAGATTCAGGCAATTTACATCTCTACCCCTAAGTGATAATGTGCAGATGGTACGTAGTAAAACACCGGGATCTGGACAATGACAGGTTTATTGTTGAATGATCAAACGAACTTACCAAGTGAAGTTCGATCTAAATTATCCTGTTTTCGCCGAAGAGATTTACTGGCTGGACGCCCTCTCTATAAACGGTGCTCGCAGAATATCAGCGTCGAGGTACTTCGTGCCTTGGCATAAATGCTGAGCGAGGACCTGTTTTTATTTATTTATTTAAAAGGATGTGTCAAGTGTAGTTACATCGGCCCAATTGGTAGCAAGTGTTTTATAGACTTCCTTTTAATAAAACATTAATTTTATTTGTATGTGTTTTACTAACGGTACTTTTGGCGATCACTCACACAAATGCAATTCTCAGCTTAAGTTGATAGGACTGTATCTACAATTAATTAATGCGATTTTCATTTGTCATTAAAGTGGATACTTTTCTTAATTTTCAATTAAAAAACAGAAGAGCATCGCAACTAATGACTGTGTTTTGTTTCAAACAAAATCACAACAATCACTCGTGACATAAGACTGCGTCTGAGTACAAATCAAAGCAAACTTTGTGACATCGGCTGTCGGGTCTCTATGACATATTAATGATAGGGCTTAGGCTCACCGTGGCGAATTATTCGCAAATTACATAGCAATCACCCCAATCGGACGTCCCATGGAGATAACTTAAGTGCACCTTTTCCGTGTGTTGTAGACGTGTTCGCCACAAGGATTCGACTAGATTTTGTGTACTAATTTCTGGTTATTATCATTTATTTAATTTCCTTGCATTTTATATTAGTTTGTTTGACGATTTGCTTTACAATTTAGTTTCTTGAATTTAAAATGTACTATAATAAATAATACCAATCCTCTATTTACAACCGACTCAAAGAGGTACAATTACAGATTATTTTTATAAAGAAATAAAACCTAAATAAGCATTTATATTTAGAAGACACATTCATAACATACTTTAAGTACTTCATCAAAAGAAATAACTTCTTTCCCGCGCCATTAAATCTCGGAAATATCTTTTTAAAAATACTTTGCGCATGACAGCTTGCAACTGAATTTGTAAGATTACGAAAAATGTACCACAGTAAATTTTCATTAGAAAGGACAAGAATATAATAACATAGCATTTTTATTTATGTGAATGCATATTTATTTTTATGTTTAAATTCAAATAGTATGATTATTGTCGTAAGTTGCATCGCTGTGGCGTCCACACGCTCCGCCGCTCTCACTTACCTTTTTTTGCAAACGGAACATTGTCATCGACACCGAAATTACAGACGATTGTCACGAGGATTATGTTTGTGTGAAGGTGTTTGAAAAATATTTGCTTTCAGTCCTTGAGTGTGCATTATACGAATTTAGAGGTGGGTTTTATTCGCAAGTTCCCAACGACCACACACACTCGGTGTGTTTTTTTCTCGTTCTTTACTCGTGAAATTGTATAAGTTGTTTTGACAATGTGCCCGGAACGTGCGTCTGCGGCGTTTCGAATGTTAACCACGGTTTCGGAGTTATTTGTCTTTACGCTGTGGCTGGTCGCTTTGTTTTTTTTAATTGCTCACATATTTACTAACTTATTTATTTACTGAGGGTACATACTTGAACGATATTTTTCCTTTTTAATTTAGACATCTTATAGCTGAAATTAGGATTCAAATTCGAATAATTTATTTCGGAAATCAGGTTCCATAGTATTGGTATGAAGGTAGTAAGAAATGATGAGGATTATGATGATACTTTCTAAATTTAAGTATTATAACTTAGATTCCTTACACCTTTCTTTATAATTAATTAGGTATTTCATTTAGAAATTGGTTTCAAAAGGGTAAGTCTCTATTGCATAGCCATCATGACCAATAGAATAAATTATTAAAGTTTATTGTACAAGTATAAGCATAAATACATTAAATACGTAAGTATAACTGCATGTTAATCAGATCACAGCCAGAGTAAATCCTAGTTAATCCCCAGTTTCAGACTTCCTAGCTCCCACAAAACTGCAACAAAAACCAATTACAAGTCTTACTGTCGTCATTAAAAACTTCAGTTTACAATTATCCTATCTTACAGATAACTTTTAACTTCAATGCGCAGCTTACAACAGCTCACAATTTCTTACGATGTGTGTATTTGTTTATTTAAATAGTAGAGTCGCCAACCGTAGGTACGTAAGTAGGTGTCACGTTATCACAAGTATGCGAATTAACGGTGACAACTGTGATTGCGTGTGCCATTCCCTACGAGCTTCAATGCTAAGATTACTAAGTGCCTGATTCACGTGTAGAGCAAGTTATGTACAGAATGGACATTAGGGTGTAGTTTTCTGCCTAATAATTAACACCCCATAGTAAGATGAGAAGAAAAATTGGTACCTAGTAGATAAAAGAACTCTCTGGTTTCCGAACTGGAACTAAGTGGAAAAGGAAATGTGGAAATAACGAAATATGATTGTTATTCAAAACGTCTGGTCTTCTCTCCTCTTCTGTTTAGTGGAAACGGGCCTTACGGGCGATAAAGGCTGCGAACGACACTTAGTTATCGTATGGGATCTTTTACGTCGATGTCGTGGCAGCCTGTAATTAAGATAGCACCTAGTCTTAAGACAAAATTATGTATGTAAACCCTTTGCTTAAATTTGTGTCTGTGTTGTTGGTTGTCCTAATTAAATAAATAAATAAAATGTCGCTAAAGTAAATTCTAAGGATATCCAACACTTAACAGCCATTGATTTTGATATATTTTTAAATAAAATTAGGCACAGATAGATAAGTGCACATCTATGTTCTTTGCCCATGCGCAGTTATTGCGTCGCCTGACAGTAACGGCGTCGCGCGATACTCGGCGCGATAGTGGCCGCACACGATGCACGACTATTATCGTATGGGATCTTTTACACCATAGTTAATGTCGCTAAAGTGAATACTAACCAAGGTTATTGAATAATCAAAAGGTAATTATTTAACAATAATGGCTCCTTTTTTTCGAAAAATTAGGCATAGTTCTAATAGGTAAGTGCACATCTGTATTCCACAATCTTTGGTACCTAGTTGCCCACGCGCAGTTATCGCGTCGCCTGACAGTAACGGCGTCGCGCGATACTCGGCGCGATAGTGGCCGCACACGACGCACGATTATTATCGTATGGGATCTTTTACACCATAGTTAATGTCCCTAAAGTGAAGACTAAGGATATCTAATAATCAAGTGGCAATGATTTAACATTAATGTCTTTTTTTTCTTTCAAAAAATTAGGCATATTTGTAATAGGTAAGTGCACATCTGTACTCCATAATCTTTGGTAGTTGCCCACGCGCAGTTATCGCGTCGCCTGACAGTAACGGCGTCGCGCGATACTCGGCGCGATAGTGGCCGCACACGAGGCACGACTATTATCGTATGGAATCTTTTACACCATAGTTAATGCCACTAAAGTGAAGACTAAGGATATCAAATAATTAAATGGCAATTATTTAACATTAATGTCTCTTTTTTAAAAAAAAATTAGGCATAGTTCGAATAGGTAAGTGCACATCTGTACTCCATAATCTTTGGTAGTTGCCCACGCGCAGTTATCGCGTCGCCTGACAGTAACGGCGTCGCGCGATACTCGGCGCGATAGTGACCGCACACGACGCACGACTATTATCGTATGGGATCTTTTACGCAACACGACGTACTGATGGCATTGTGAAACTAGATGGCA